ACACACACACACACACACACACACACACACACACACACACACACACACACTGTTATACATATGCACCGGGGCTCCTTTTATAAATCATTTCCTTGGAATTAAAAGACACTTTAACTTAAAATTGTACAGAAGATGACAAAAAGAATTTCTTAGTCTTTATGACAACGTTGGACACATACATGATATATTAATTTGTATCACTGAACGGGGACAAAAAACTCTTTAAGGGGAAAATAATGACGTACTTTACCAACTCATGTTGAGACAAGGTTTTCAGAAATCCACTGTGGCAAAAAATTAAGAAAAATTTGCACCTTTATTTTGGTGGAATTAAAAACAGCAAGAGTAACAGGAAATAGAGATGACATTGCTACAATTCAGTTCTTTTCAAAAAGATGCATCACAAGAAATTAAACCACAGCTAATGTTATTCATGCTTCAAAATAATCCATTAAGTCTTTCAAGTAAAACTGCAAATCAAGGAAATTTTGAAAAGGATTTTCAATGACTTTCAGTTTGCATGTTCTTTATCGGTAAAGCAGACACTTAAAACTTTTTGATTACATAGGTCATGCAAAACAATTGACCTCACACATGGTTGTCTACCTGCTCATTGTAACATAATCTTTTGGGGATGATTATAAATTTCATAAGTTACAGTGACTGCAATAGTAGAAAGAATTCAGGAAAATGACTCTAATGAAGCAAAACACTATGTAGTACATGTGAAAGTGTTATTCTGAATGTTTAATTCTCCCTCCTAATATAAATCTCTACATTCGGAAGACTATCATATACAAAAATGGCAGTCACTTTTCTATGTGCGTCTATAGGCACTCCATCTAAGTGATAAAAAGAAACTACAGGAGTAACATTTCAAATACTTTTACAGGGTGTGGTTAATCCCTTCACCACATTTTGTTAATCCAAAATAGGGCAGTGCCCTTTTATTTAAAATGTTCATTTGTTTGAATAGTGTATTTCCTAAGGAAGATGATTTTGCTCCTATGAAAATGTAGTTTATCCCTGGTAACATTTTAAACTGTTATTATTTATATAATCTCCAAGTTGTCAATTGGTGGAGAGGCGCATGGCTTCCTGTTATTAGGAATAATCTTCTCACTCTGCATTGTGACACTGAGAACAAGTTTCTCTGCGGTGGTGATTTCAACACTTCCATCCTGTGGGAGTTCTGAGAGCACTGCCAGTAGGAAAACCTCTACCACAGGTCAGTTCACCTCCTTGAAATAAGCAGAGCCCCCAGAGAAAGTGAATTCCAAATCTCCTATTGGCACATTCAAGTCAAGTGGCAGTGAATAGGCATAGTAGACTTTCCCAGATACCTGGATATGGGGCGCTGCTGGAACAAACACCTAAAAATGAGAGGATAGCTTTGGGATGAGACCGTGGGTAGAGGTTGGAAGAATTTTTAGGATGGCAGAAAGAGGCAGGATTGCCTTGAACACTGCTAGCAGATCTATGGATGTTAATGCTAGTGAGGGCTGGAGGAAGAAAGGAGCATGGTAGAGAGCACCTAAATTGCCAGGGAGATTATGCAAATTGTCATAAACAGACTGTTAGAAGAAAATGGGACATTAAAGGTGCTGCCAACGAGGACCTGGTAGAAATGAGGACTTAGTCGGAAACGAGGAACGTGCTGTTGGAAAGTGAAGGAAAAGAGATTCTGGTTATATAGTGGCAAGAAGCCTAGCTGCAATGTGTCTGCAGTTGTGTGGAAAGCAAGTTGTAAGGGATAAACTTAAGACATTCGGTTGAAGAGACTTCTAAGCAAAGTGTGCAAGGTGAAGACTGGTTTCTTCTTGCTGGTTATAGTACAACGTGAGTAGAGATAGACAAATTGAGGAAAGAACTGTTAAATATAAAGAAAACAGGACTCAATGATTTGGAAATTCTTGGCCTATGCAAAGGACAAAAGACATTCCAATTAAGGGATTCGCTGTCAGTGAAGTCTCTCTAGGGAGAGACGAAGGTACAGCTATACAACCTTTGGCTAACACCTGAGGAAGGCCTGAGTTTTCTGTCACACCACAGATCCTTGAAGAGACACAGGGTGTGACTCAAAGATCCTCCCAGCCTTTGCTGAAGAAGCCAAAAAGAGAGATGAGATTACCTACGAATGTTTTGCACCTGGGCCTCTGGTTTAAGAGCTGAATCCCCCTAATAGGCACACAAGATCCCCAAGTCTCTGGAGAATGTTAAACCAGCAGACCCTGCTATCTTAAATTGAAAAGGATGAAGATGGTTTGAAATGAAAGATAGCTGGACTTCCCACAATTCCATAGTTAAGAAACAAGCTGATAAAACTACTCAGCTGCGAACCACTGCTGCCTTTCATGAAAGAGGAAAGAGGACTCTGAGAGGACATCACAAGCCCAGAAGATAGTGCTCTGGACCATAGAGATGTGACACCTAATGGAGTGTGCATAGCTCCTTTTCTCATTCCATTGTTTGAACAGGAATGTCTATAAACCCCATTCTATGCCTGTCCTACCATTATATTTGGGAGGAGATAACTGTTTTTCTAGTTTCACAGGTACAGAGATGGAGAGGAATTGTGTCCCAGGAATCATACTCATACTTGATTTAGATGATTTAAATGAGGTTTGGGACTTTTGAGCTGGTGAGATTCAGATAAGGTTTTGCACTTTGATGCTATAATGGGTTGACACTTTTGAGCACCTTTGAATGGGGTGACCTTATGTCAATCTTTGGGGCAAGAGTGGACTGTGGTAGTCAGAATGGCCTCCAAAATATTCATGTTCTAATCACCATACCTGTAAATTTGTGACCTTACACAGGAAAAGGATTTTGCCAATGTGATTAAGTTAAGCATTTTGAGATGAGATTTTTCTGGTAATTATCACAAGGGTCCTTGTAAGAATAAGGCAGGAGAAATACAGTAGGTAGTAAAAGATGTAAGGACAGAAGCAGAGATTGGAGGGATGAGCTAGAGTGAAGAGATGAGAAGAGCCCTGGAAGAGGCAAGGAACGGAGTCACCCCTGGAGCCTCCAGAAACCTGTGATATGTCACTTTGCATAGTAAAAGGGACATTAAAGAGGCAGCTAAGGTTACTACAGACCTGATGACAGGCAGATAATCCGGAACTAATGGTGGGCCCAATCCAATCATGAGTCCTTAAAAGCAGAGAACTTTTCCTGGCTGTTGTCAAAGAGATGTGATGACAGAGAAGGGTCAGAATGTAGTATTACTGGCTTTGAAGATGGGAAGGGGGGCCACAGGCCAAGGAATGCAGGTGGCCCCTAGGAGCTGGAAACATGAGGAAATGATTCTCCCCTGGGGCCTCTCAGAGGGAATACAGCCTTGTCAATGCCTTATCTTAGCCAGTGAGACCCATGTTGGACATCCAACTTACAGAATTACAAAATAATACATTTCTGCTATTTTAAGCCACTAAGTTTATAGTAATTTGTTACAGCAGCTACAGAAACCTCAACAGGTGTGGTGACCAAAGATGAAATGGTATCTGGGAGGAAGAAAAAGCTTTTCTATCATTCCTGATATAGCCTACTTCATATAGGAAATACCTGGCTTTGGCAGAAATGCAAATATTTTTGCTGGTAATTCTTTAGATCCAGTCTGGCTGACAGAATTTACATTTCTGAATTTGTACACTCATTTTGCCCTGGAGTAGAATACATTCTGGATTGAACACTTAGAACAGTGTTCAGTATAAATAGTGGGTCCCTTAGAAAAATGTGTTGAATAAATAAATGAATGTGATCAAGGCAGGCTCTGGGACAGATTGTAATTACTCTATTTTAAAGTGCTCTTTAATGGATGTTCTCAAGAACTGCTGACCTTTCTGTCCTTGTTTCTGGCTTATGATGGTCATAGTTCTATAAAATACAAGGCCAAACCGTATTTTTTGACACTAGTAATACAGCTAAATCAGTAAGTAAAAAGGACGCATACAATCTTAATAGGAGAAATAATTATATGATCAACATATTTCAGAATCAGAATATAGATACTTTTCAGCATATATCACAGAAAAAATTCCAATTTGATCAGAGGATTTCTTGATGGCTGTTGATCAATGCACCATCAAGAAACTTCAGTGCAAATTTTACCAAACACATTTATCAAAATGGGGTTCTGTTCATTTCCTCTGCAAACAAATGTTGTTACATTAGCCCAGAGCACGTAACAAATTGGTTTGCCTGAATATTTACAAGCTAACAACATAAACCAGCCCTGCAACTAAAAATTCAAACATATTTATCTCAAAATCTATTCCTGGTTCAAATTCATCTAGACTAAGGCTGGAAGAAAGGATAAGAATAAAACTGAAATTTATCTGTATAAATAATAAAAATAGTTTTGTTTTCTTAATGCTCTAAGTATTTTCCTTATTATTATGGCACATTATCTTTCCTACATGCTACTGCATGGATAGGAGCAGTATTATTTTAGTTGCTGGAGTATCACAGTGTTAAGAATATCTGCTTCTTGTAGTGTCAGGCTTTCATCTGTTAGCTCTTTATTTGGAAATGAAGTCACAAGAATAAAGTCAAGAGTCGCAAATTCAGGACGGGACTGTATAATAAAGTCCCGGACATCCAGGATCCTGAAGAAATAAGATAAAAATAATTTGTGATATGAAAGTTTTATTTTCATGTAAGCCTTTAGCTAACATTAGATGATAGTAATATAAATCATAATTCTAATCCTTATTTAAATGTGTTGTAATTTTAAAAAAATTACATTATTTCAATGGATGGATTTATATTGGATTACAGATAAAATGTGAGCTTTAACTCTGGAGTGTAGCTTGTATTTACTTTTTCTGTAAACAGAGACAATCTTTAGGGGAGTTATGCATAGAATAAATGTCAACAATGTTATTATGCTAAAAGTGCAGGTTCTACTTCTTTCAGAGTATAAAATATCTTAGCAGCAGGTGACCCAAAAAAAGGTACCCCAGAATGGCCTGTGTCAAGATCAGTCTATAACTATGAAAGGTTTAAGTCATAGGGACAATTTTTAAAAATTATCCTTTTTTAAAGACCTTCACATATGCCTAGGAATTCAACTAAGATTATAAATACATCCCTTAAGGAAAAAATAAAATTGATACATTATTAGTACAACAAATGTATAAATGAATGTTAAAATGACATTTTAAAAAGTTTGAGTACCTGACAAAAAAAAAATAAAGTACTTGACAATAGTACAATTATACTTTATCTACATTACAAATTTATATTGTGAAGAGTATGCTAAGATAGAAAACTCCAATCAGAATTATCATAATTCTTAAATGATTAAAGTCCAAATAAGGTTTCACTATATTTACCATATTAAGCCAAGTTGAATCCCACTTCACATGGTTTTAGCAACAGTGCAAAAGTGCAACTTTTAACAATCTTATTTTTGAATGATAACTGGATTTGCATTAGTATGTTCAAATGCTAAGTATTTCACACACCTATTATGCCTTTGAAGTATTTTTCTTCTCTCAAAAACTTAAGAAGTGTATGTAAAGAATTTCTCATTCTTCATTACTCACTCACATAGTTTTATAAAAATAAGTGACCGTGTGAGAAATCACAAACAAGCTTACCTGTGTGTACTATTGAATCTTTGTATCAAACGACTCCCATCTGCTAATCTGATTTGAATTTTTGTTGTTGGCACAGAATCATCAATAAGAACAACCGCATTAAGTATTGACTTATCTTCCTCTTCTGGGGATGAAGGTGTACTGACTATTTCAGGGGTAAGGCTAAGAAAGAAGAACTGAAGAATTAGAACACGAATCTGAATACATCAGATGCATACATATCTGAATACATAAGATGCAACAAACTGAAGACGGTGGAGTAACCACTGAAACCCATCTCTGATTCTAAAGTGTTTCTGCCTATGACTTCTGGACCAGGAAAAACATGGATTCCTTTGAGTCTCCCATACTTCTTCTAACTTCTTTGTTATATTAAAATTCTTTTGTAGCCTATGATTTTAGTTTAGCTTATCCAATCTCTTTCAAAAGCTTAACTTTGGGGGCGCCTGGGTGGCTCAGTGGGTTAAGCCGCTGCCTTCGGCTCAGGTCATGATCTCAGGGTCCTGGGATCGAGCCCCGCATCGGGCTCTCTGCTCAGCAGGGAGTCTGCTTCCTCCTCTCTCTGCCTGCCTCTCTGCCTGCTTGTGATCTCTCTCTGTCAAATAAATAAATAAAATCTTTAAAAAAAAAAAAAAAAAAAAAAAGCTTAACTTTGTATTCTTTCCTCCCTTATCCCTTTGAATTCCATGAAGCTGTTTAACACAACAATCCTTACTCAGAAATCTGAGCAACTCTGTCAATTAACTTTGACAAGTTCATGTCAAAGAATGACTATGAGTACAGGCAGACTTGGTTTCAAATCCCAGCTATGTCAACTGCATAAACTTGAGGAAGTAAATTAATCTCTCTGAATTCCAATTTTATCATGTATAAAATGGGGAGGGGAAATAATATGATGTTATGTAGGTTTGTTATTATCAGTAAGTCCCACAGTGCCTACAACAATATTTCAACAGGTGCCAGCTATTTTTGTACATATCAACACTAAACTATTGGCTTAAACTTACCTAATATTACTTAAAAACATCTGATTTATGTAGTTACTGCTTTATAAAAGAGAAGTAATTTCTATGTGTTAGTGAGGAATGAAGTTTTATATATGGTGATAGATTTATTTATTTTTTAAAAGGTTTTATCTTAGAGAGTACGCACAAGTTGGGGAGTAAGGGAGGGACAGGAAGACTCTACAGTGAGCACAGAGTCCAACACAGGGCTCGATCCCAGGACCCTGAGATCACGACTTGAGCCAAAATCAAGAGTTGGATGCTTAACCAACTGAGCCAACCAGGTGCCCCTATGGTGACTAATTTATCATGAAACTTATTTGATAGGACATCTCATCATTGGAACTTGATTACTAATGACCTTAGCACCACTTTATCTTAATGACTTCTAATACTAGCAGAATGAACTGTAATTGTAAACTGAAAGTCAGTGTCAAAAACAAAAAAATCCTTTTGGATTAAGAAACGAGAACAAATTAAAAACAAATTTAGCCAAATTCTTTATAGACATTTGTCAAATCTTAATCTTCTCTAAGTTACCTAAAGGGATTATTTAATAGTCTTCATGTCTATTTTTTCAAATACTGAGTTTCAGATAGCATCCTACAAATTATTTTCTTTCAAAAAACCTAAGAACATATTTATTAGCATATAAGTTCTAGGAGCATTCTTTGCTCATCTTGACTCTTATTCCCACCAAAGTTTCTCAAAATATACAGTAAGGTAGAAAAATTAACTTGTACTTATTGCTAACACTTCCCCTTTCTTTAGCTTTTTCTTAATACATATTTTAGAATCAACTTCAGAATATATATGATAAAAACATAAAAAAGAAAATGATGATTTGCAATCATTGATCAGGTAGTCTTAAGGAATTTTCTTTCGAGTTTGGAACTGAGGCCTTAAACCCTTGACCAGAAGATGATTCACTATGTCAAGGGTCTGTGTCCCTTACACAGGGAGAGGTACAAAAACCAAAGGGAAGGGACACTAAATGCAAAGGACTTTGATCTTCCTCTGCCTCACTGAAAACTAGGTGTATACATAATCATCACCACCACCATCATCATCATCATCACTACCACCATCACAGCCACCACTGTGTTTGTCAGTTCATTTAAATCATGGTATGAATGAGGGAATCGTGACTTAATAATTAACAGCAAGGATCCAGAAGCCTGATTCCAGGATTCTGACTCAGCCACTTGCTAGATGTGTGACCCTGCGCAAGTCACTTAACACCGAGTTTCTTCATCTGCAAAACAGACAACTTGGCAGCACAGTGGTAAAGATTAAGTTAATGAGGACATAGAAGCATTTCAAACGGTGCTTTTATATAGTTGAAACTTCCTCAAAGGCAGCTATTAGCCTTGTAATTCCTATCCTAACAACAACTAGGGAGGGAAAAGTTACCTCTATTAGATGAGATGAGTCAGATGCGGTTTCTGTACGTTAATGCTTTCTATTTAAAACAGATTCTGACCAGATAAGCTTTCAAAATACAAAAAGAAAGTACCAAGTAAGGATACTAGGTAAGGAAAGCTCTTTCATGTGTTTCTTTATAAGATGTGTGTATGTCAAAATGAAATTATGTGGAATAATAACATTTGAGGACAGGAATGTATTTTCAAGATAGTTTAGGCCAACCATATCATTTTATAGGAAAACAACAGAGTCAGAGAGATTGAAAGACAGGCTCAGAGCCACAGAGATAGGCGGTTGAGCAAGTTGGTTAGTGAGCAATGTATAAAAACACATTTTAAAAAGTTACAATAACTTTACTATTTAGCCTTCAAAGTTATACCTGCTTACTACTTAAAACTTTCTCCTTATTCTCCTTAACTGATCAAAATACAATGACATTTTCAAAATACTGCTTGTATGTTTCAAGTATCATATTAAAAGAATTTTTAAAAAGAGGGAATTGATAAAACAAACTTTCTAGGCAGATTGGAGGACAGGACGTAGGGTGGTTGTAAGAAGAGTGAGTCCCTTGGTCAGGAAGATAAACATCTTCTAACTTAAGAGAGGGTAGTAAAGATGGATTTAATAAACTTCGAGGCTAAGAGGAATATATTGGAAAAGTAATTCCTGTCAGGCTCCATTTTCTCAGGAAAGCTGGAAGCAAAAAAAATCTGCTGAGATGAGGGCAGGGAACATTTGGGATCAGCCCTTCGAGAGTGGGAGAGGCACAGTTCGCATTCTTAGCATGGGATGCGGATATCCCCAACAGCACTGAACAGCCCAGGGGCAGACAAATCCAGTGGCTGAACAGTAAGGCAAGGGGCTGTAGAACTGCTGGGATAAGAAAATGAAGCAAAGGCAAGAAGGAAGGGGTTGTTAGGCTTTAGAGAAGAGGACCCTTAAGGGTCCAGGGATCAAGATGAAGTCAAAACTCAGGCTTAGTGGCCAGAATGGGTGAGTGGCAAATGGAATCTTTTGGACTGCACAGTGTGAGAAACAGGAAGCGACTGTTCTTAAACAGAGACATTTGCTTCCTTTTGCGATCTGTATCATCATATGCACAAGCTCAAAAGCCTACAGCAACAGTCTACTTGTTAGCCTTGCTTATCAAAAATGATTCTGTAATTTTCTAAGTATGTTGGGCTCTATTCCAGCTCACTGAGCTAATTTTTATGCAGTTGTACCGTTTACTGTGCCACTGTACATTTGCAGTTTTGTCCCTATGATCTGCTTGTTCCTATGATACTACATGAAAGACCTGGGTAGAATTTTTATTGCATTTAGGTTTACCCCACAATTATCTATAATATTACAGTAAAAAATTAAGTTAGTTTCTATCTGTGTAATGTTCTGTTTGCAATAAGATTGCCAGCTATGGAAGACAATGGAATTATTTCCACTTCTGTTTGCTTCTTTTAAATTCTTTTTCTGTTCAGTAGTTGCCTGGAAATCTTGGTAAATGAGCCATTTCAGAAAGTTACTTTCTGGACACATGAAGGTTTTGTTAAGTGTTTTATGTGCTGGTTTTCCCGAACTCGAAGAAAGAGTTCGGCGGCTTACATATTCTGAAAACAACCAACTTCAGCACATAACTCTTGCTGCAATTACTTATGACAGACAGGCATGCTTATAGTTGTGATCTAAGATGCCTATTGTTCAGTCTCATCAAGAACCTTTAACAATTTCCCCTTTTGAGCCCATGTAATCAGAAAGAGGCAGGATGGCACAATGGTAACAAGCAGTGTGTGAGTCTGAATCCCACAAAATAACTGCTCGCTAGTTCAGTCACCTAGGGCACAGTACTGCATTAGCGAATGAAGTCATCACAGGATCTACATCCAGGAGTTGTGAAGATTAAGTGAGTTAGTGTATGTTTAAAGTACCTACAGGGGGGACGCCTGGGTTAAGCCTCTGCCTTCTGCTCAGGTCATGATCTCAGGGTCCTGGGATCGAGCCCCGCATGGGGCTCTCTGCTCAGCAGGAAGCCTGCTTCCCCCCTTTCTCTCTGTCTGCCTCTCTGACTACTTGTGATCTCTCTCTCTCTCTCTCTGTCAAATAAATAAAATATTAAAAAAAAAAAAAAAGTACCTATAGGGCCAGGAATGTGGTAACTGCTACTGAAGTATTCGGTACTAATGTCATCACTAGATTTGCATATCTAATTCCATCAGCAAGGTCTTCAGGGTTCCTGTTTTAATTTTTACTTTCTAAGTTATTTTGCTTTTTTGATTCTCAAAGAAAAGTCACACTGAACAAAGACAAGTATTTTTCTCACTTTAGGGTTTTACCTTCCAAGTTTTTGTCCTTCTCCACTAAAAGCCTTGAACCTCAACCTAGGTTTTATGTACTCTTGATCCTGATGGTCCTCCATATCCAAATTCACGTGGCCGCCATGAACAAGCCGCTGAAGCTCCAAGGGAATCTCTCTTTTAAAAAGGGGAAAAGGTTTTAGTTAAAGTAAAAAAAATTAATCTACACTATGGACATTACTATAATCAAGGTGTGAGCTATACTGGAAAACAGCAACTTTTGCTTAAATTATAATATGAAAATTTCCATGATGATTGATTAGTCCCTATAGATATTTTCTTCTTCAAGTTGCATCAAATTATGATACCTCTAACTTTGCTTTCCTTTTTCAAAATTGCTTTGGCTATTTAGGGTCTTTCGTCATTCCATACAAATTCTAGGATTGTCTGTTGTAGGTTCTGTGAAAAATGCTGTTGGTATTTTGATAGGGACTGCCTGGTAGTACAGATATTTTCACAAAATTTGTTCTTCCAACCCATGAGCATAGAATGTCTTTCCATTTCTTTGTGTCTTTCGTCATTCCATACAAATTCTAGGATTGTCTGTTGTATTTCTGTGAAAAATGCTGTTGGTATTTTGATAGGGACTGCCTGGTAGTACAGATATTTTCACAAAATTTGTTCTTCCAACCCATGAGCATAGAATGTCTTTCCATTTCTTTGTGTCATTTGAGGTATCACCTCATACCTGTCAGAATAGCTAAAATCAAAAACACAGGAGATAAGTGTTGATGAGGATGTGGAGAAAAAGGAACCCTCTTGCATTGTTGGTGGGAATGCAAACAGGTACAGTCACTGTAGAAAATAGTGCGGAGGTTCCTCAAAAAGTTAAAGTCACTACCTTATGATCTAGCAATTACACTCCTGGGTATTTACACAAAAAATACAAGAACACTAATGCAAAGGGATGACATGCATCCCTATATTTATAGCAGCATTATTTACAATAGCCAAAATATGGAAGCAGGCCAAGTGTCTGTTTGATGAATGGAAAAGATGTGCCACACACACACACACACACACACACACACACACACACGCATGCACAGGAATATTATTCAGCCATAAAAAAGAATGAAATCTTGCCATTTGCAATGACATGGATGGAACCAGAGTATAATACTAAGCAAAATAAGTCAGTCAGTCAAAGAAAGACAAGTACCATATGATTTCACTCATCTGTGGAATTTAAGAAACAAACGAGCAAAGGAAAAAAAAGAGAGACAAACCAAGAAACAGACTCTTAACTACAGAGAACAAACTCATGGTTATCTTAGGGATGGGTGTGGGGGAATGGGTTAAATAGGTGAGGGGATTAAGGACTGCCCTTGTCCTGATGAGCACTCAGGGATGCATAGAATCACTCAATCACTATATTGTATATCTGAAATGAATATAACACTGTATGTTAACTATACTGGAATTAAAATTTTAAAAAAGTCGCATCACCTTATTCCTAGTGATTCTCACTATAGGGACTTTTTGCTGTCACAATGATCTTGGGAGGGCTTTTAACATTTAGAAAGCCAAATTGCAAGATAGCAATTTATACCTAAATAAGCACTAGAAAATTCCTATAAGGACATAATAGTTAATGCAGATATTTATTTCTAAACTCCGTGGAAGAAGTTTTGAAAATGGATAGGTGGTCTTTTTTTTTTTTTTTTGGATAGGTGGTCTTTGATCGTTGTGTGATTCATGAGTGCTGCTGTCATTCAGGGTTGGGATCCAAATACAAGAAGCACTGCCACTGGGATTCATCTTGCCTAATAAAAAGTCTTGTCTTGGGTTCCACAGAACCACCGAATGCCCTGCTAGAGTTGTGCAAGGATGACACCAGTGTCTGTAATGTCTGATCCTAAAATTTAAGGCTTAGAGTCTGTTTTCCAAAGAAGCAAAAAACCTTTTTTTGGTGGGGGGGGGGCATTTTATTAATACACTATAAAATTTTCAGGAATACGTGTACCATATAAACAGAGAAGACTGCACTTTGTTTTGTTTGGAACATTATCAAGTCCTTGACTGCAACACTACCGACAGTAATTACGTTGCCAACCTCACATACCTCATTATTCTGTTTTTATGTTTGTCACATTTTCTTGAGAAATGCTAGACTGCACATAGGTACAAACTATCTGATTACCTTTATTATGCTCTGGTGTGGTCAGACCAAAGCATTTATAAACTGAAATACATACAATTTTATGATAAATTATTTTATTTCAATATATTTAAGATGAAATTTTTATCTTTTTTTGGGAAAATAATATGCATGGACAGATTATATTATCTACGAGTTCTTCGAGGACAGTGAAGATGGTGTTACTCAATATTTGTCATAAGTACAGGACAGTGATTCTACAGTTGACAACCACTATCTGACGTCAATCATTTTTTCAAGGAGTCTTTTCAAAAATTGTTCTTGCTCATAATTTATACTTCAGGATATAGTAAAAAAACAAAACAAAAACAAAACCTCTTTTAGGACACCAGGACTGCTTGGACACTGCCCACAAAGATTATGGCTTATTTTCATTTAAGAATAAATGAGTTTTGATCTACATTATAATACATCCATCATCAATACACTCTTGTCTTTTAACATCTTGAAATAAGCATCAATTTCAACAGCAATGTTGATCTTCCCTTAGCAGATGAACAAACACCTCCCTTAAACAGTCACTCCCAGCTCTTCCCAGTGACTGCAGGTTTCCAAGTCCACAACACCGACTTAAACTATTATTTCCTTATATTTACCACCACCACATACTGCCTCCTAGGACAGCTTCCCACCTTTCTCAAATGACGTCAGCATATTGCTTACAGCATTTCTTGCCATTTTTTGGTATCTTGACCTTATCTTTGTAGAATTCAAATCCAGATTTTATGCTAGTTTCACCTCCACTCCACTTCAGCTACTCTCCTTGGATATATATGCATCACATGGAAAAGTCCCAGCTTCAGTTCCTGAATGGAGTATAACCTTCTACTCTGGTCCCTTCACTGCTTCTTAAATCTCCAGTTCATCACCAACCTTCTGTTTGGTTGTATTTCTACTTAGGAATGATTGCATTGTCAGCCAGTGAAAGCATAATGCAGAAAAGCTTTTATAATCCTAACAAAATCACTTGACTTTTCATCCTCTAGCAAGAAGAGCTGAGCTATGATGTTCTTTCCATCGGTCAGAGCACTGTATATCTGGTTGACTTTCACAAATCGTAACTTCAAACTAACCTGAAATCTTCTGCTAGCAGTCATGCCACTTTAAAAGATTTCTAATATAATGTGCTGACTTTCAGGCACACACGCAATGAAAGGCATCCTGTTAACAGTGAGCAGGCCAGTGGCTTAGTGGGGAGGCAGCTACAGGCTAATCAACTGTACTGATTTATTACATGAAGATGTTTCTTCTCAGAACGGACCATCGCTTGATCATATTTTGAAAGTGACCAGTGTCTACTGCCCCCTCCATCAAATTAAGAACCAAAGACTTATGAATAGCAACATGTCCTTTAGATACTTAAAAATACCCTTCCCCCCAGCAATCACTTATAAAATATATTCCAGTATCTTAAGAAAAAAAGTCCCACCCTAAGTAACAAATAGAATACAAGTAATATATCTTACCCTCTTTTAACAGACTCCAGAAATTGAGCATTTGGTGGGTCATTATAAGGTCTCAGTTCTCCATCATCTAAACTGAAACCATTGCTCCACAGTTTAAGCAAAATCTGAACCTTTTGAAGATAGGAAAAAAGATAAAGAAATAAAAGAATCCACCTGCATCAAATAATTTTAAGCTTCAAATCTTATGTGGTATTTCACAACATATTCACAACATAAACCACTTACTTTATTTAAAATGCAGTGTTATTCATATTACTTTAGTTACTGTTAAAATAAAGATGCAAATGAAAGCAAGTGTATTTGCTCAGCAGATTTGTATGTGGCTTAACAAATCGACAATGGCTGAAATGCCAAAGCTAGATCCTGGCCGTGATGTACAATTATTCTGGTTCATTGAGAAAAATGAAAGCAATGAGAGCATCCAGCTGCTACTCCACATCCATTTTTCTCTTTCAACTGTACCTATATTCTTTTCTGCTACACAGGGCTTAAATATTTATGTCAAGGGGTAAGCCAGAATTTCAGTGACACCCTAAGGCTTAAGTAAACATGTTTAAATGAAATTATAATTCCAAATTTTAAAACGCAAAAACAAAGAATGACCTTAGGAGTTTCCTTGTTTACAACTCAGCTAATTCTCTAACAGTATACTACTTATAATAATTATTATTGTATGTAAATAAAGCTCATTCTGACAGTAAATCATATATTCTTTCAACATATAGAAGATATTTACAATTTAAGTGCAAGGCACAACTGAGGTGCAAAATATAAAACTTGAGACTAAAGCTTACACATTAGTCATTTTAAAATCCATGTTTCCAAAAATAACAGAAAAATATATATAGATTATATTTATATCACTAATTTTTAAATTTAAAAACAGTAATAACTAGAGGCAAATATCTAAAGCTTTTCATTTTGGTTACTGTACCTACATCTTGCAATTGATTTTCTCCATAGATGTATTCAGATCGCTTACAAAAGGAATTACCCAATCTGTATCCTCCACCTGTAAATGACTGAAATACACAGCAAATGAGTTCAAAATTCACTATGGTTTATAGGGCAAAATATTATGATAATGTGTGATATATTTGAAAACCAGATCAACTACAATTAGCCAAACTAGCTTATACTTTCCAGGAAAATTTTATATTAAAATGAAGGTTTTATGTTACAGAGGGGTATACTCAAGGAAGAAACTATGTTTCTCCCCATAAAAACATTAGTGACTCAGAAGTTGAAATAATTTAGGCCATTCTTAAATTAAAAAATACAGTCATATACCAAAATATATATTTTAAAGTATAAAGAGATTTTAAAAAGCTATCACTAATATTTTATGATGTTTTATCATAAAAATTATGTTTAAAACGTATTTCACAAAGTAAGTAACAGTTACACGTGTAAAGGAAGAATTTTGTAAATAGGTATAAAGTACCCTGAAGAAATATTCCATAACTATTTTATAAGCTGCTTTTATTCAA